TGGATAGTTTTCAGAAAAATCACTTACATGACTCAAATCTGGCAAAATAAATGGTTTGCTTTAACCAAAAACTCCTGCACTCCTCATGACAAGCGTGAAGCCATTAGTGATTCAGCGGCGACCGACACACTGGCTTTTTAGCAGATAGGAGACAAGTATGGAAACAAATCCAAAACGTGAGCAATAAAACATGCGTAATATGTAGAGTCATACTGGTTTTTAATATTGGTAACAGCCGTGTGCACTTGGAATAAAGCTGCACACATTGATTCCACATTTTATGAATTTTTGTAATAGAATTTAACTTTAGTTTTTTTCTGATTTCTGGCATTAGAACTGAGTCATACGGCTCTCATGATGGCTGCACAGTTTCTACTGTAATTTAGACAACAACACCCAGAAGTGTTTGGGGTTCAGAGGGTTAAATCATAAGAAGATGCACGTGTCCGTCTGGGCAGATGTAGCTTATACCTGTTGTCCACGTTTAGCGGCGGCCACCTGTTTCCACAGATGACACACACACATAAACACAAACACCCAGTTTGTTATCGGCACACACACACACACACACACTCACAATCACTCTCCATTTTATCCATCATCTCTGACCCCCCACCCGCATCTGGATTCGCTCGTCCACGGCTGCCATGGAAACAGTCGCTCTCCTCTGATTGGAGGCAGGTGGCCAGGTGTGGCTGCTAATCAGGTGTTTAGGATGGAGGGTGGAGGAGACGCTGTGAGTCCCTGTTTGCGAGAGACAGCATGTGCGAATGTACCTGAGTCTGTTCCGAAGAGGGGCGGTGGTGGTGGTGGTGGTGGTGGTGGGGGGGACGCATAACTGGAAGCTACTCAGTCAATAAGAGATGCTCAGAGGCAATCAGACACGAGTGCACCTCTGAGCGGTTACCACATCGACGTGTCTCTGTGCATGTCGTGATGGAGCAATTGAAGCCCCACTTGTCAGGGCATCTTCGCTAAACTACTCCCGCGCTCGTTCCCCGCCCCAAAAATAAGACGTCGGGAGCATAAACACGAGCCGCTGTTTCTCTTCTCGAGTGTCAGAGGCTTCAAGGAACAATGCAGAAATAAAGCCTAATGATGTATTTGTTTACAGATTTGCCAATTTGTTAAAAAAAAACGCGACGCGCTACATTCAGCGCTCGTCAAATTGATTAGATCGTAATTGCCACGTGAACAAGAGGAAATGTCATTCTGGCAGCTTCCATGTCACTCCGGCTACAGTTTTGTTTTTTCTTTGCGCTGCTCTTTATAAAATGAAATTAAATCAATTTACTTAATTGCTTTCACTCACAAACACGATTCTAATATCAGCTCCTCTCTCTGGAACATCACTTTCTCTTTCTTTCTGTGTGTCGTCTACAATTATGGAGCTCAATCTAAGCTGTTGAGGGAAAGGGGCTAAATATTATTGTGATAATACATAAATACATTTACTGGGTTTGTAAAAAGGACCTGACGAGCCTCCAGTAACAGTTCGATGCAGTTTGAAGACGGGGAGGTATTTTAAACGACTGAAGCCCACGTGTCTAAAACCGTAACCGAGCTGGCGAGATGCAATCTGTTCAACTCTGTCCGCACAGTACGTCTTCCAAAGAATGGAATTTTAAATAAATAAATAACTGAGAATATTTATCTGGTGCGATCCGGACAGAAGATTTCCACATAGCGCTTCTTTTCTTTTTTTTTTCTTTTTCTAGATATATCGGCTCAAAACGTAACGGACAAAAGATGGAAGAGACAAGACGGTCCGCGGAGAAAACCTCCAACGTCCCGTCCGCACATCATGGAACCTGTCACGCATATAAATTATCTAACCTTTTCCTCGTTCCACACAGGAACACCAGAGATGCTGTTTTCACTGCAGTCCTGGTGGACGGTTTCACCAAATCTACTTTTCCTACATGCTCAGGGGTAGCTGTCGGAGCATTTAGGGGTTACAGGACACAACTGATTAGATTAGGAGTCTCTGTACGAAATATACGATAAACACTGACATCCATGAACTGACTGAGGTATTTAATTATTCACAACTGATTATTTCCTTTTGTTTGCAGAAATGAATCACTGGACTGATGAGTGTTTTAGTTCAGCGCCAGCTAACCTGCCCTCCAGTTGTTCAGGTCCCCTACAGGACTGTTTGCAGCTTCTCTCAGGGCCAAAGTCGACGCTAAACAAGAGTTTCTGATTTTAAAGATCACCGCCAACAAAGTCCGGTTCGCACCCATAACTAGCAGTAACTTACCGTTCGCAACTCTAGGATTTTGTACCACGGCTGCTGAACGCCGTGGGGTTATGATCGGTTAGTAATGAACAGTAAAAGATCTAAATTAATGTGAGATTATTTAACTGTTTGTAACTCTCGCGTAAAGATCTTGGAGGGCTGAAACCGCGACCAAAACTTAGGACGACTAGCCTCCCAGTAAGAACCATGCAGATGAAATGTCAAAGGGTTCTGATAGTTGTTTGAATTTGGACTTTTAAATCAGCAGTTGGCGGAGCAGAGACGACATTTTTAAAATCTGTAATGAAACTGGTTTTCTATCTGAAGGTCAGCTGCAGGAGGAACAAGAGAGGACGGCGTAAATAAGTTTAATATAACGCAGGACTGTTCGCTGTTCTTCAGACTGATCGTATTCTTTAATTTTCTCTTCCAGTTTCAACACTTTGTAAGAATTTAAAACTCAGTTTTCTTGAACCCTTTAAAAACTTGACGTTGCCTGGCGACGCCAGAGAAAAAAACGATCAAGGACAGAAACCATACTTTGTGATATTTAGAAATAGAACCACCTCGTTACAATAAGAATTTACTCATTTTTATTTGTCCTTTCTCCAGCTCAGTAAGTTGTTTTGTAAAAGTCCAGTATGTACTCCAGGCTTTCTGCTTTTTCCTTTTCAGAAAGCAGCAAATCTACAAAAATCCATTTTGGCAAATAGAAAGTCTGCTGCTCAAAACATCTGGTCGTTTCACACGACTGAGAGTGAATTGAATCGAAGTGAAATTTAAAAGTTTATTTGTTCGGTGAGACTTCACCGGTTTAAGGATTATCGTGACTCGACTGACTTGAAAAAAAACTAACTGAAAATTTCGGAAAACGGCAAAAAGCCTCGGTTTAAGTTTTACGCTTTCTACGCGTCTCTTGACAGATTTAGTCCCAATTAAAACGTCCGACCTCAACTGGGAAGACGAGGCTGTGGAAAAAAATCACATCAGTCTCCCCCAGAGGAGTTTTTTTCATGTAGAAACGGGATAATAGCGGCAACATCAGCGCTTAATTGGTTCAAACACTATTAGTGAATCGGTTCTCAGAGACAGTAAAACTGTAAAAACTAAATGATTTCTGTGTGTTTGCTAACAGTATTCTAACCTTGTGGTGGAAACAATCCCAACTCTTACAGCTGTTTTACCAAGCAGCCAGTAGATCCTGATGTATCTGATCATTCAAATGACTAATAAGACTGGAAAGGAGCTCATTAGCTTTGGAATCTACATGTGGATCACATTTCTGCAGGAGTAACTATTTCTTGGCTCTTTCACTTTTCCCCATGTGTCACCATCCTCTCCCCATTATTGCCTCTCCTGCTGAAGGCGACGTGCCATCTCTGGAGTCTGTGGTATCACTGCCTTAAAGGTTTGGGTTTTTGCTGACCGCAGTGCTTTTTTTCTCCCCATAATTTAACCACAGCCTGACACAAAGTAACGCACGCTGACACTTCGCAGCCTCGTATGACACGATCTCCAACTGCTGGCTGTCGTCGAGCAGCTTCTCAAGGATCCTCCAGGTGCAGCGAGTTGCTGAAGATTACGTGTGACTGAACTCCTCCTGGTTCTCCTGCAGCCCTTCACTAAATTCCTGACTGATCATCAAACTTAAAACAAAAAAGGTTTGAAATGTTTCACTGTACTAATCCGACACTAAATGTAAAACCTTCTTCTATGTCGGATATCAAGGCTGTCGGATTGTCCAGACGGAGGTCCAGATACAAGGAGGGCTTGATGCTGGAAGGATCATTAGTTGTTCATTATTGTTCATAGTTGTTATAATAACTAGTAGTTCTGGTCCCAGTAGAACTTTCTGGTCTCTGGATGTTCAGGCCCAGTTAATGATGAATATCTGAATATTGGGTGCGGTCGGGGGACACTTCCACCCCGGGGCAGCGCTCTGACGGGGTGGAAGTGTCCAGAACACACAGGCAGTACTTGGCTGCTGATGCTAGTTTAGTTAGCGCTCACACTTCTGTTTCCTCCATCGGTGGCGGCGGGGGAGTGGCAGATACGCTCCACCGTTACCATCCATGTTTACTTCCATAAACACTGAGCACGCTCGCTGCGTGTGACGTCGTCGTGTCCTCTTCTGCGCATGCGGGACACTTTTGGCTCGTATGAAGTTCACACAGCAGATCACATACAAGTCGCATTGAAGTGGAAACGTGAAGGAAGTCACAAAGAAATCCTCATTGAGCATCAAGTCCTGCAGTGTGAACGTAGCCAATCTGTGGGATTGTTCAGTCAGATAATACGCCGTCATCCTGATTGGTGACATTAAATGTCATGTCGGAGTCACAATCCAAGGCTGTCGCTATGTTAAGGCTGTTTTTATGGGTTCTATTGGTTTTTCCTAAAAACCTGTCGGATAGCAGGTTTAGGATTGTTAAGGGTCGATTATCGAGTCACGACTGGATATGAAAGTTTACGTTTTTCAGTTAAACTACACCTGTAATCCTGACCTTTCTCACCCCAGAGCACCTTGAGTTCATTAAGCAACATCCAACTCTGCTCAAACGTTGTAAAACTACAGCTGTTGTAATATTGTAGGAACTCAGCCATACTTGTTCGAGCTGGAAACCAATTCTGAAGAAGAAAAAGTCCAGTTAGTTCTGAGACTGTCGTAGGTACGGAGAAGTTTCAAAGTGGAAATGCTCCATCACGGCACCGACTGCTTACTTCTCTCACTCCATGTCCTCCAGCATGTCGACATGCCACCGAGCTTAAAAAAACCCTTGATTTTCACCAGAGTGGGCCTTTAACACGTGATCCAACATAAATCAAGGCTCTGAACTGCAGGCGACGGTTCCTTTTAAAGACGGAATGAGATAAAACGTCACCTCTGTGATGTCGACATTGTTCCATCTCATGAGGTGAGCAACCTCTGGATGAGACGGCCAGCCGCAGCTCACGGCTTTCTCGGGTTTTCATTCAAATTTACGCCGTCGCCATCAATCTCCATAACAGAGGGCTTAAAGGATGTCTGACCCCGCTGACTTAAAACAGCTCGCTCGGCTGAGTGCAACACTTCAGTGCACTTTCAGAATGGCGGCGAGGCAGCTCATTTGCGGCGATCAATAAGGAGGTTTGGGCCGTCTTTTGTACGTTTGAATCCGGAGTGAGATTTCTTTTTAAAGGTATAAGAAACTACAATTATGTTTTCTCTAAATCCTAATGCATGAAGTGCGTCGAGGGAAGATATCATGCTGCTCAGCTCTGGCAAGTTTGAAAAAGCCTATTTTCTGGTGCATGTTTTTTATTCACCAAACAAGAGCCTTTCCTCATCTGCGACATAGAAAGTTATCTCCTTTCCCAACTGTTTATTTCCTCCCCTTCTTCTTCTAACTTTCGTGTCCTTTATTAACAATCCTCTGCTTTCTCCTCCTCCCATTTAAATACATAATAAACGAGCGAGCAAATGATAAATGCATATCGTGTGATCATTGGCTGAGCGTCTCTGCTCTAAATGCACATTACAACCAACAGGAATCTTTATTCATGGCTCTCTTGCATGCGTGTGGATGCAATTGGGTAAACTAGTTATTAATTCTGTGGTGAAAAACCAAAATCTGCTGTTCCTTGTCCCTTCATTGGGCCCTTTCTGACTCTTTCTCAAAGTTCTTATTGAGCACTTTTCTAATATCGTCTGTAGATCCAGATTCTAAAGACTGAGGGCAAATAGAAATAGTGACAAACTCTGCACTATCAATGATTGTCCAGTTTCCAACAAACACGCCATTGTCCTTCCCTGTTTGTCAGCGTTCCCTGTTTTTAATCCGTGTTGTTCTTGTGCACGTGTGCGGCTAACTCACCCCAGCTGGTCCGTCAGGTTCCACAGAACATTGGGCGTCGGCATTAGCGGCGACCCGTCGTACAAAACCACCGAAGCTCCCACTGCCAGAGCAGAAACCAGCCAGTTCCACATCATCCAGCCGGTCTGCGAACACACACACACACACACACACACAACGCTGCGGTCAGTTTATCTGGTACAAACACTCCTTTTTCTCATCAACATGGATGAAGCAGAATCCAGTAAAATGGGAAACTCCTGCAGACTGTGATCCACATGATTGCGTTTCTCGTTTTACTGCATGCTGAGGGACTGCTTTGGCTCCGTCCTTTATTTATATTAGGAACGAGAATATTGGCTCTGCTGCATGAAAACTGTCTGCGGCGCTGATACGGGGGCTTACGCAATGACACGTTTAGTTAGCGAATTGATTAGTTCGCTGACAGAAGATGAATCAGAAAAAGTTTGATTAAGCAGGAAGACAAATTCTCATTTTTGCTTCTCTCTGTTTTGTGCCATTTAAAATGTGATAGTTTGGTGGGTTTGGAGTTCTGGTTCTGACAAAACAAGCTATGGGAAGATGCCGTACTAACCTATGGCAGCTGGTTTCAGCTGAAGGTACTTCATGTACAGCTGGAAACCTCCTTATATGTAGCCAAAGCTTGACAGAATCCAGAAATGCGGCCACATAATGGATCTTAAAGTTATACAGAGGGGCCCAAAACAGTTGTTTTCACATCAACCTGGAAGTTATGACGTAAATAAAGATTTAAAATTCAGTACTAATGAAGTCCAGGGACATTTGTGGCACTGACCAACTTCTTTGTACTTCTTTGTTGTGCCGTCTCCACCAAAGCCGCGGTCAGAGGACAGATCAGGGCTTGTTCAGGTAAATCACCTTGCTGCCATCGCCCACCTGTTGCCTGTGCCTCAGGTTTCCAGCAGAACGCTGCTCGCTAAGTCGCGTTGTGACAGTGGGAACTACGGCTTCAGAATACGTCAGAAGTCAGACATTGTTATTCTGAGCAAAGGGAGGTTTTCTAAACGCCAACTCGTGGTGAGACCAAAGGTTTCTCAGGGGGCAGAGCACGGCACCTTAAAACCCTTTGAGGAAACTGGATCCGTTATCGCCACAGCACGATTGGACCAGAAGTGAGCACACCGCCAGAAGATCAATACATGACAGAGAGATAGAAAAGCAGCTCCATCACAGGGACAGAATCTGCTAAACAAAGAATGCAACAGTCCATTCAGTAGAAGTCTTATCAGAAGAAAGGCTCAGAGGATGATTAGCGATCTCTGAACCACTTCTACAAGGGAGGGAGACGAGACCAGATGCTTGGGGTGTTCTGAGACATGGATGACTGAGAAAGTCCTGAATCCAAGTTTTCATGGCAGCTACAGAAGATCGGTGAATAAACAGGAGAGAAACTGATACCGCGGTAGATTAAACCCACATGGAACCAGGTCGTAGAAAGTCGGTGTTCTTCAGTGACACGTTACACTCTCTGGTTTTAAACACAACGCAGTGCCGACGGCCACGGACTCTCCTCCACAACACCACACAAGTTTCAGGGTCAACTAAAGATTGAGAAGCAATCTTCAGTCTTAGACGAAGGAAGCTCTTTGGAACTTTGTCAGATGAAGCTGGGACAATCGGGTCGCCCGGTTTGTGGACTCAATGCAGCTTGAATGGTGCTGTCATTAAAAGGTCCCACATTGTGCCCCGCTTCAACAAATAAATCAGAGTCTCACATGTACCCACAGTGCATCTTTCAGTTCCTGCAAAACTGGTTAATTTCACCATGAATGTATAACCTCTGGTTTTAGGGCTGCTGCACTCCTCTAGCTAACACTAAACCTGCTCTAAGTAACACTAAACCTCCTCTAACTAACACTAAACCTTCTCCAACTAACACTAAACCTCCTCTAACACTAAACCTCATCTAACTAACATTAAACCTCATCTAACTAACATTAAACCTCCTCCAACTAGAATTAAAGCTCCTCCAACTAACATTAAACCTCCTCCAACTAACATGAAACATCCTCTAGCTAACACTAAACCTGCTCTAAGTAACACTAAACGTCCTCCAACTAACATTAAACCTCCTCCAATTAACAATAAACCTCCTCCAACTCACACTAAACCTTCTCTAACTAACATTAAACCTTCTCCAATGTTAGTTAGAGGAGGTTTGATGTTAGTTGGAGGAGGTTTAAAAATGTTGCACAGCTCTGACATTCAGGACTCGTTGCTACTCGTTAGATAAAAGTCTTAAAGATGTCTGAAACATGTTGGTATGTTGCGTGTTATTGGTAAACAGGTTGTGGACCTACCGTAGTGTAGTAGATGATGACGTCACTGGAGCTCATATTGCCATGCAGGATGTGTTCTTTCAAGTGCTGGATGAGAGTTCCCTGTAGAAACAAACAGATTGTTAATCATGACTTTAACATGTATTGATTGTAGTTTATCAGCTTTCCTATCACCTCTGGTAATAACATTCAGTGCAACATGTTGTTTTCTCACAGAGAGAGCCACAGACATCCTGTATATTCAAATACTCTTCTCTTGCATAGCTGCACAGAAAACCGTCCGCGGCTTCTTCCCCGAAACACTTCTTCTCACAAAAAGGGCAATTTGTGTGAAGTGTGGCTTCTCCCACAGCCTCAAACCCATCACAGTCGGGTGGGTTGTTATTTCTGGTGGAGGGTACGGACTGTGTGTGTTTTACTTCTGAGCTTTCCTTTTTTTTTCCGCCTCCCCTCCCTGCATAAACAGGTGCTCCATGTATGTGTGTGCATACAATCTGTGGCAGGACTCAGCTGCCATAGCCGTCCTTTGGTGCGTGCCATCTTGCCACTGACAGCATGTTAACAGAGCCATAACAAAGCAGAGAGCACAACAGTAGCAGGGCTAATTGGCTGAGCCAGAGAGAAGTGCCAGCGTCACAATACGAAAATGTTTTCAGCACCACATTACTGTCCAATTGTCAGGAGCATGGGGAGAAGGAAGGGGGGGGCGCAAAGGGAAGGGATGGGGATGGAGAGAGACAAAAAAAAAAAAGGAAAGACAGAAAAAGGAAGCTGGAGGAAAAAGAAAGTAAACCAGGGAGAGAAACGGAGAAGCAAGTGGAAAAAAACGTGAGGAAAAACTGCAGTTTTAAGGGTAGACTGTGACAGAAGGGTGGGGGAGTAAAAGCCAAGACGAGAAGCAGAAAAAGAGAGAGAGACAACAACCGCTGTGTGAGAAACGCCTTTGTTTGACTGAGTTAACCCGTTTTGAACGGCGAGCGTCTCGGCTTTCAAAGTGCGGCGGTCCTTTTTGAAATCACACATTCTTCTGACACTCTCCCTCCCTCAGATGTGGCGCGTAGCAGCAAAATGTCATTCATGCACTCCCTGGAGAGCAAATAACCTTTTGTGGGACGAGCCGATGGAGGTCTGCTGCCATCTCGTGGCGGGAAGCGGTAACGGAAACACACACGTCGGCCGGTGAACGCAGCAGGTTCAGGTTCAAGGACAAAGTGTTCAGAGGAAAAACTTCACTTTAATAAATGGGAGCAAGTCGCTCCTGAACAACGAGATGTCAGGATGACGGTGAGACTTTCTTCTGCCTGATCAGGATGAACACTAAACCAGCTCTGGTCTTATAATGACCAAACCTTTACATCAACAACAACAAAAACAACCTTTTTTAACCTTCCTGGAACGTTACTAACTGTTTATTCCTCAAAATAATATAAATTGTTTGTTCCCAGTCGACCTGAATGTTGTGTGATTCTATTTAAAAGATGATTTAATTCTAATCGAACAAAGCCATAATTGATTTATAGTTATCGAACAATTAATTATTCGTATATTTAAATGTTTCCTGCTGATTTGTTAGAATGGATTTCTATTCATTTAGTAGAACGTTGCTCTGATAGATTTGACAGACTTTTATATAAACCAGGTTTATCCTGTTGGTTTCTTTGGGTTTGAGATCAGTGAGATTCAGAAGCTACGAGCGATTCATCCGACTAAGAAATATTCCTCTGACAGTCTGCATATTTATGCTGTAAGCAGCACACTTTGCTTCACACAGCTGACACATTCAGTAGAGTTCTTTGACTACAGTCGCTGTGAAGCGACGCTGGATATGATCTCAGTGAGCAGGTCAAGAGCGACATAAACTGATTCAGTCACCTTCAGAAAAGGACTGCACTGAGAGAAACCTGCAATAAAGGCTTAAAAGAACGACCAAAATAAGTGTCACTGAATCATTTAAAGCCCTCATGTTTTGTGTTACTGAATCATAAAACAGATTTTGCTCATAATGTGTGTAGAGTCGAGTCTAGTTTTATTTATACAGATTATTATGAGTAAAAGCTTCAGACTTTTCTCTCAGCTGCTGCTTCAGAGGTCAAGAATTAGCTTCAAGTCTGCATGAATGAGAAAAATCTTTAAACGTAATGGAAGGTGGGCTGGACAAACTTCAAACATCTGCTGGTGAAGATGATAACATCACATATTGGAGGATGCTGTCGTCTAGTTTCTGGTCTCGGTTTGAGAATCATGTGTTTGGACTTTAATGCCACACAGCCACTGGTGATGGGTGTCGGTGCCTCTGCTGTGTCCTGAGTGGGTAACGATCTGTCAGTTTGTGCTGCTCCCTGTGTGACGTGGTGCTTCATAACACAGAAACACCACAGGAGACTACTGCTGCTCAATCTGTACACCTCAGACGTCCAGCGTGACTCTGCCCTCTGCAGAAGTTCTCTGAGGTTGATGCGAGGGTGGAGATACGTTGGTATACAGGGAACTTTCTGTGGAGCAGCACAGCATCAGTCCCAAACGTAACCATGACCATTGTCCACTTGAGCGAGAGACAAAAACAGACGCTCACAGCTTTTATTCATGTATGCAGCAACATGCTGGAGGTCTTCCACCAGCCCGGGGTCGGGGGTGAACGTTTACTGTGGTGGATCCAGAGACGCCAGCAGGATCAATAAACTCATTTGCAAGGCAGAACTATTCTTGGTGAGTCAGTGAGGAGCAGGAAGTCACTCAACAAGCTGTTATCCATCATAGACAGTCCATGGCACCCTGTTCATGATGCACTATGAGGACAGCAGGGCCTCATTTAGCTCCACTGTTATAACGAACATGCAGGTAAATCTAATGTGAGGCTAGACAACAGCTGACTTCTCTGGGACAGGCGATGCTGCACTATCATCTGGACTGTGTTTATTCACACATACAGTATATTGTAGATATTATTTATTTTTGCACACCTGTTCATTTGATATTTGATATTCAGCGTCTTGTTCTGCTTTTAATTTCACCGTTACATTGAATGTTTCGTTGCTGTAACACGATTCCTCTCGAGGGATAAATAAACCACATCTAATTATCCTTCTCATTCTTTTCTCACCTTTCTTTTAGGAAACATCACTAACAGAGATAATTCTCTTTCCCCTTTGCTACCATCTCTAAACGCTGTGCACTCCAAACCGAGCCGGTCATCCTGGGAGAGCTCGGCAAACAGATGTGACCAGAGTGCGCTCGTCTCTGTATGAGACACAGCTGCGTCTAACCCTCGCGGAGCACTCGTGAAATATTAGCCACAAACAAACAGTAATTATGTTTAATGCTACACAAGGACAAACGAGAAGAACAGAACAACCCGTGTCTAAATCAGCGACCCGTGGGGCCGTCCCTGTGTGGGTAGATGCACCATTCTCAGTTATATATATATTTTTAAAAATGACCAGCAATGTGTGTGAAATATTGTGTTTTTTCTGGCTCAACGAACAAATAAACGGAGAGTGATGCATAGTTTTTAATTTACAGCTAATGGAAACCCGAGAGCTTCTTACCCCGGCGGAGTGGACCATGCATTTCGGAGCACCTGTGGTTCCGGAGGAGTACATGATGAACAGAGGGTGGCTGAACGGGAGCTGCTCAAACTCCAGCTGAGGGAACTGGTCGGCCTCGCCGCGCCCAGACGCCAAGAAGTCGTCGATGAACACACTGTGGACAATAGGAGGTAAAAAAAACAGCCTGACACAATATACTGAGGAGAGAAAAGATTTCTGGATTCGATTCTGTCATGTAAACACTTCAGAGTATTTACAGACACACACCTGTTGGGAATCTTGGACAGGTCGGTCTCGTGTTTGGAGCGAGCGTAAGGAATAACGACGACCTTCTTCAGGTCAGGAAGACCTACAAGAAACAGAATAAGAGAGAGCTTCAGTTTCTAACGAGCAATTTATTCTGATTTTTATGAAATTCTACACAAACTACAAAACCTAAACAACATATGAATGAATACATCTGTTAAATAAATTCTAAATTAACTAAAAGAAAAAAGCATGCCAGACAGACAGAGAGCCTGATGCTTTGGTGTTTTTTGTTTCTACATTAATAACCTCATGGAAGAGCCAAAAAAGAAGCCACGAGAGTCCCTCGAGAAAATTCTGGTGTTTTGTTCATGCAACTCATTACTTCTCCTCTGAATTAATCCTTCATACTGTTTAATACAGACACTTTTAAAACCCAGTAGAGTTACTAGGAAAAGAAAATCCCTTTTGTTGTAATCAAGAGAAAGCCCATGCAGAGAGTTTGTATTTACAAATGCACTTGTCAGAATGAAATGATATTAAAACAGCCACAATTCAACCAAAGAATGCAAAGAGAGAGACCCCAGTCCAAAAATAAAAGCTGCTGCCGACCTTTCACGACGCTGGTCAGCTTCTCCATGTGGTCGTGCGTCTTGCCGTTGTAAACCACGGCGGCGACGGAGAAGATCAGCTTGGGCTGGATCTGAGAAAACCTGTCGAGGACACCCTGAGACAAAAAGAGAAATGTGATGAGTAAAGCTAAGAACAACAGTGGAGTCTGCAGAAAACACTCCAAGAAACACAGGATCACCTGGAATCATCATGTCTGACTGAAAGAGGATTTTCTAACAACAAGGAAAACAACAGAGTGATGAATGGTAACGGCAGTTCTCTGCTCTGCCACAAGGGGCAGTAGCGCATCAGGAACAAAAAGCAGAGACCTGGACGGGCCAACAGAAAACGAGGTGCTGCAGGGTGAAGTAAATCCCTCTATAGCAGCTGATTAAAAACTTATTACCCAGTGTAACTCTGCACAACAGTTAAGAGGAAGAAAATGCAACAATACACACTCTCCTGATAGATCCCATACTGTCCATCACACATACATAAACTACGTCTTATGTGGCAGATGGGCTCGGTGTAATTAACGTCTACATGGTAAATAAACTTCCCTGCGTGGGAATCTGTTATAAAGTGCTGAGATGCGCTACCTGTTGCAGCAGACACTGAATAAAAAGAACAATTAAGCAAACACACAAAAACAACACGACGCTTACGTTGACTCCAAAGTCGACGGATGTTGAGCTCCAAATGGCGCCGATGCTGGCCGCCGCCAACATGGCCTCCACCGCATGGATGCCATTGGGCAGGTAGCCTGGAGAGGGACGAGAAAAGAGGAAAATTAAGAACAAAATTTATTTTTATTAGAAACTACAGAGAATATACTGTGTGTACGGGCTTAGAATAATTATGATGACATCTGATAAATATACAGGATAAAATGTGCATATTAGCTGCACACGCTGAGTAGTGCATTCATCCTCAAGTAGATCAGAGTGATGAAAACAGCCATGGTGGGTTTCCACTCGTGTGACATCTAACAGCAGTAAAATGAAACCAGACGGACTTGTTATCTAGTTTCTGTCACACCACACAGCAGGTCACCCGAATGAGAGAACAGTGGAGAAAAAAATAAAGTCAAAGAGAGAAAGGACAAGCGACACACAGAGAGAAGGATGGTGACACGAAGTAATCTGGATAAAAAAAGAAGAGAGAGGGGAGGAAAAAATGATGAGGCAAAGAGAGGAGAGGGAGAGAAGTGATGAACATCGACGAGGGCAGGGAAAATATTTCACTCCTAACAAGCGGCGCTGAGCTCATAACCGCCGGCTCGCGGTGATGTACGAGCTGATCGATATAGAAAATGTGCCCGAGGGGACTACAAGTCTTTTCTCTGGGTGGACGCAGACGATGAGGGATGAAGGCAGAAAAAGAGAGGGCGATATTGACAGCTGCAGCAGCACGGAGGATGAGGAATGTGAGGCATCAGCGCAACTTTTACATCAGCAAAAAAAGTTCAGAGGGTTTGTTTTGCATTTGAATCCGATTGTTAAAACATTTAAAAAACACACAGACTCAGAACAGGAGCCTTTAAACTGAGAGGAGTTTCATCGATAAGTCGTATCTAATCTAAACTAATAAAACAATTACACAGCCAGTAGTTGCAGCGTTGCAATCTGACCGGTTAGACTGCAGCCGCGTGTGCTCGTCCGGTGAATCACGACTAATCAGGCTGCACTGGTTGCTATGCTGACTGGAACCAGGAAGCTGATACTGGCAGCATGACATCATAGGCTGACAGATCACCGCCCTGCACTGCTGCTTACGCTGCTCCGGGACAAATTGCGTTGTGAATCATAATCTTACTCCAGCTTGTTCGACTGCCTCGGCTGCAATGAATCACTGTCTTGTTATCTTGCTGGCCACACGTCAGCGCAGCACACTGTCCTCTCAGCCGGTTCATCAACGCAGGACACCGTCAAACTTCTTAGCTCTATGTTGGTCATGAATCAAGATGGTAATGAGGACTTTCCAAACAGCAGATGTTGCAACTGGACCAATATATGAAACAGATGCTTCTTTAAAGGGCTACAACAAAAAAAAGCCTGAAAACAAACTGTTGGATTCTTCAGGATTCATGTTTTTGCTCTGAGCAGTAATTGGACAACCTTCACAGAAACAACAACACCTCTGGTTTTAAATCAGCACCTTTGTTAACGAACCCTGAAGGAACGCAGCAAAAATCTGTGATTATCCTAAACGCTCGGCAGAATAAATGCTTTATGTTTAAATGTTTTAACGCCATTCACATCATTTCAAGGCCCAAATCGTCACGATTCAAACGGCGTGAAACGTTTTAAAATCCAATATCAGAGCAACAATAGCAGCTATACAGAAAAACTTCTCATCTTTTATGTCGTCTATAGGAGTACAGATTTATTGAACGTCTTGTGCAAAGGCTTCATAAATGTGTCCTATTGTGTTGGTTTTATTGTAAACAAGAAAAAGTCATTCGCTTTTATTCCCACTGAACAACAAACAAATAAAAATCTTGACTAATACGAACCCAGAAAATAAAATTAAACAGAAAAAATGTAAAAGTTTAACCCCTGATGTGTTCAAGCTGCACATTGTTTTCTTTCTAACATATTTGGGATGTAAAAAATACTGATATATGATTATTTTACACCTGTTTACAGTAAAGACGTGCACTGAAAGGTGGTTTCTGTTCCTTTTGATTAAATGCATCATCCACAACTCGTGTTGAATTTCTATTGCAGATTTTAAACAAGCTTTTTATTTATTCCTTATACACATATGTGCTATTTTACACATATTACTTTACGTTACAACGGTACAGAAAATGTCTGGACAGACACAGCAACTTGATTTATTTTCTTTTAAAGTCAATCTTCATGTTATTATTCACCGTGTTATAGATTTAAAACGTGATGGAGCTCCAGCATCAAACACGAGAGCCTCGCTCGAAGAGGACGACTTGAGTTTGTAAAACCATCGACGAAACGGTTTAAAAACGGGTCAGACGAGCTGAAAGCAGAATTCTGAATTGAATTCTGTTGACTGTTCAGCCCTACATGTTACTGACTCTCCACATTCATATTAGTCAGCAGAATAAAGGAGATAGTCGTGTGTTTATTAACGGTAAATAAAAGAGTACGCCGTCCCCAGTGAAGGAACACTCGCATAAGACTGCATACGGGCTTCTTAAGAGGGTGGAGGTGATGTTGGAGATGATAGTGTGTGTGTGTGTGTGTGTGTGTGTGTGTGTGTGTGTGCTCTCGGGTCACGTTCTGCTATAAAGCGCGGTGGGTTTCATCAGCTAAGTGCTCATATATCTCCTGGATTACAGACACTGACAAGACATTTTAGTCACGAGCCGAGCACAAGGACATCTCATCGTCTCCGACACACAAAAGTCCGTCCACACGGTCCAGTGCACTCACACGGAGATCTGTGTTTAGATACGCGAGTGAAGGGGAGGCATGAAGCAGTCCCTCTCCCTGTGTTTCTCCAGCTCCCCCTCCATCTTCCTCGTCTTCCTAATGAGATTCCCACCGAGCTTAAGTCATTTAGCTAATGGATTGCCCTACTGCAACATCCATCTTTCCTCCGAGCTCACAAACTTTCCTCCACGCCCTGGTCATTCATCGACACAGCAGCCACAGACTTCCTTCACGTTGATGCTTCAAAATAAAGGCAGGAAACTCTGTGAGCGTCAAAGGGCCGGAGAATTAGAGACTACATCCGAACACAGGTTACTTTGGCAGCTTATAAAATTATAGCAGAGGTCAGAATGTTGTGTCTGCACAGATTTAACTCCTAAACCTTCTGCCAAAGAGCTCACAGACATTTTTTTGTAACCACCAAATATTGATCTCTGTCACATTAATCCAGACACAATAAGCAACAAATCTTAAATAGACCAGTCAACTAATAGCACGTAAGGAAAGATTTGACGAGCCCTGAGTAGCTGAAGCCCCTAACGATGACGCAGCATAAACAGATCAACACACATCGCTGTGTTGAGGCAGAAAACACAGGATGAAACCGAGATGGTAACAGATAAGAGAGCGTGTTTCAGTATTCGTAGCTGCACTTCTGACGCATTTTACGAACCTCCCTGCAAAAGAAGCTTTAATAAACTAGTTTAATGCCTCCTGATGGCAAATTGTTGGCATGAAAAATCATGTTTAACCCCATTTAAAAAGCCAGTAGTTGTGCTACCTCACAAGAAATATTAAAAAGAAGCATCTGCAGCACAAAAAGTAAGATAGTTTAAAACTGGTAATCTGGCTGGACTCATAATAATTTCACTACAAATTTTGGAGGCATGACAGAAATAAACTTCAGTGTATTTTGAGATCAGAACACCTTTTGATGACCAAACATTTTTGGTTTTTTGGCTTTCTTCAAGGATCCAGATCATAAATGAGATCCTTCTGTTTGAGAACCATAAAGGAACCAAACCCAGATGTTCAACAGGTGTGTCCACGACTAGAAACGTGGCGACGAGCTACAAAGGTGACACAGATAAGCTCCTAAAAGCATTTGAAAAATGTACCGACCACAAAGCGAGTGGAGAGACGCCTGTGACGTGCATTAAGTGTAAAGACTGGTTGCAGGTTGCACTGCTGGAGTGGATCTGTATGAATGGACTGAAGAAATGCCCCCTCAGCCATTCCTCCCTCCGCAAACAAGAAATAAATGGCGACATTCAGACTCGTGCCAAAGCAACCAGGTCGTCTTAGCGGCAAGCGCACAGGACTTCCACTCAGAACTCTGCATTAGCTTTCAGGTAAGAAGGACAGAAGAGCAACGATATGATGATAAATTAACACAAATAAGTCAGAAAGAAGGAATTAATGTAATAATCAGGGTTCCTACACATGTTCCAGGGTTAGGGTTAGAAGAGCAACGACATCTCTGCCTGAAGAGGACGTGTGCTGCACATGTTCATAGTATTCAACAAATAATATGACGTCATTATTTACTGTTAGCTATAAATAAGAACGGAAATAAGTTGAAAACACGTCTGCATCAGCCTTGTTTACACGCCGTATCCATGGAAACGACGATGACCACGCCCACAAAGCGATGGTTTCCACACACAGAGAAGATTTATTTTTCTGATTACTACATCACGGCGTGACTTGGAAACGTTCCAAATATGTTGTTATCTGGTTAACTGTGATCCTGATTTATGGACAAGTGCCATAATAAAAAATACATCTGTTAATAAAATAAGGAAATAAATGTGTAAATATGAAGAGGAATGAATAAAAGAATAAATAATAAAATAATATGGAAATATAGAAGGTAAAGTTTGTCTTTGCTTTTCCCTTTGTTTTTTCCAATTTGTATTTGCTTTTGTCTTTTGTTTTTACATTTTGTTTTTATTTAGACAAAAAGAAAAAGCAAAAGACAAAAGCAAAGACAAATTGGAAAAAACAAAGAGAAAAGCAAAGACAAAATGTACCTTTTATATTTCCATATTTCTTTTATTTATTCTTTCATTTATTCCTCTTTATATTTACACATTTATTTCCTTATTTGTTTATCATGGCTCTCCTGGGACTCTTTATAGACCTTGACATGAATCACCAACTCGACCTTTCTGCAGACCAAACACACTCCCACGTAGCAACAGCAGCCTCTCTGAGCAGAACAACGAACCACGACGCTAAACCGCTCAGGAACGGCTGGACAAACACGACAAAGAGCTGAAGGTGGAGACTTTGCCTCCAGACTCCACAGATATGAACCTGACTGAGCGTAAGCAGCAGAACAAGTACAATCCACAGAGGCCCACAGTTCAGGAGACATAAAGGATCCCTGAAGATATCCTGGTGAGGGACCCACACAATATGAAGTGGGTGGGTTTAATGTGAAAACCTGAGACTCACCTACGACCCTGTCTCCGGTCTGGACGCCCATCTTCCTCATGGCTGCAGCGAACAACGCCACATCGCGCCTCAGCTCCCCGAACGTCACCTTCACGATCTCCTCGTTCGCCTCCGCTGGTACAAACACAAAGTTAATTAAAACAGAGATAAATTATGTACAGTTCAAATAATTATTCCCAAAAAAGAAATCAGTGACATCTTGAGGAAGTTTTGCTTTCGTGTATCCTATGTGTGCAGGTTAAACGCCAGGGAAGGTTAAGAAATCCACGTTAGGGAGAAAAGAGAGACAACGATGGAGACATAAATAGAGATAATGTGGTCGAACCGAGCCGCACACAGGAACAGACCTCTTATCTCTCTAAGTAATAGTTTACTGACATTTACAAAGGCTCGCAGCACTGTGACCAATGGGTCTTGTCATAATTACGTTACAGCTCTAGAGGGAGGTTGTGTGCTTGTGCAAGAGCCCTCACAGCAATAAAGCAGGACCTATCCATTAGTATGTGACGGTCCTCAGAGGTGGAACAGGGAGCAGCAGCTAATCTAATAATCAACTGACGTAGGAAGCCTCGGCGCCGCATCGATCCTGAGCTCAGCCCCACCCTCGGCTCCGGTCTTATTGTGTCCCCACGGTAACCATAGCCCCGTTTACATCGTTTGTAAAAAACAATATTTGAAGATGCAATAAAACACTGAGTAACACGATCAGTGTGACACGAGGAGGAAAAACTCTGATTCCAGTGACTGACACACACACAGGTGGGAGGAAGAAACCACGGCTGGTTAGAATCCATCACGGGGAGAAACAGGAAACAGTCACACAAAACAAAAAGAAAACAACTGGTCCTGCATGATGACAGTTTGTGAATACAGCACATATAGAGAGCATCCAGCAGCCCCTGGGAGTTTCCCCTTTAACTGCTCATCAACACTGAATCATCGCCAGTTTCTTTTGGCTTTTTGACCAAGGATCCACTCAGCCACTCCAGAACATTCACCTTGTTGTCTTTAAACCAGTCCTGTGAGGATTCAGGTTACTGTCTAGGAGGAAAACAAATCTTCTCCCAAATCACAGCTCTCCTGCAGACAGCATCAGGTTGTCAGTTGGCCCTCTAGCTTTACAAGTCTTTCTAGACTTGCTGTCAAGAAGCGTCGCCCACGTGATGATGCTGCCACCGCCGTGCTTCACAGTGAGCACGGTGTGATTGTGATGAAGTGTTCAGTGTCTGATGGTCAAACAGCTCAACTCAGGTCTCACCAGACCGGTGAAGAACCCAAAAACAGTTGTTGTATTCAGTCTCTCACATCTCAGCGACTAAAGGTGGTGACTCCTTCAGAGGAGTCATAGGAGTCTCTGTGGTCTCCCTCATTAGTCTCCTTCTAGTAACTCCTTCAGAGGAGCCATAAGAGTCTTGGTGGCCTCCTTCACTAGTCTCCTTCTAGTAACTCCTTCAGAGGAGTCATAGGAGTCTTGGTGGCCTCCTTCACTAGTCTCCTTCTAGTAACTCCTTCAGAGGAGTCATAGGAGTCCTGGTGGCCTCCTTCACTAGTCTCCTTCTAGTAACTCCTTCAGAGGAGTCAGAGGAGTCTTGGTGGCCTCCCTCACTAGTCTCCTCCTTGCACAGTCACTGAGTCTTTGAGGACGTCCTGCTCTGGGTAGATTGACCCATGTGCCATATTCTTTCCATTTCTTAATGATGCATTTAATTGTACTCCAGGGGACAGTCAGAGCCTTGGAGATATGACTGTATTGATCCCCTGATTGACCTTTTTAGAACCCTTTCATAGAGCTGCTTGGTACTGATCCACCAGTGACAGAACCTTCCAGATACAGGGGCCTCCATCACACATTCATGGACTTCTTGCATCAACTTACGACTGTAAAACATGAAATAAAACTGTGTTGTGTCTTTTTAAAAGCGTGCGTTGTGTGTGAACCAGTGCAGTACATGTTCCAGGACTCGGCAGCACTGTGATGCTCGTATATCACACACTGCAGCTCTAATCAGCGCCACATTACTTTACTTACTTGCGGCGTAGAGAGCCACTTTGTCCTGGTCGGCATGTTTGAGCAGGTTCTCGGCGTAGTTGAGCCGAGCCCCTTTAAACCACTCTGGAACGTCTGAGATCCGTTTGGTTGCATCCACCACCTGGTTTACGCCCATAAAGCGCACAAGGAGAACACACAGGAGAGCCATACGTCAAAAAACTGGATGTAAAACTTGCATTTTTGCCGTCGAAGAATCACTTCTGCTTCAGTTTTTCTTTCATTCTCCTTAAATTGCCTCTACAATAATGTTTATTTTTCAGATTTATCAAACACATACCTCCACTGCAGTCGCTTCTTTTTCTAAAACTAATGATGATGCAACATACCGTCTGAAAGAAATACTACTTGGCGTAAGAACTTAAGGTAACGCCGGGATGTCACAGCCAAGTCCACGATGCATCACACTCACAAGACATTTGATTGACTGCTTGGCCTGTCTTCTGTCATGTTTACTTTGTGCTTAGACAAATAAAATAAAGGATTACGTAGGTAGGAGCACGTGGCCAGGTACTGAAGTGAAATATGTTATCCGTGTGTACAGAATGGGCGGGTCAGCTTCAGACTGCATTTATTGCACCACCTGAGTGTCCACATCCTGAAACTAAGCAGCATTAAGAGGATGCAGAGAATTAAATAATGAGCACAGAAAAGTAAGATAAAAAAAACTGCATCCTTCTTTTTGCAACTGGCTCTTGAACGTAGCCTTGGTTTCATAGTTTAATGTCAACAAAGGGGTTAAACTTGTTAGAAATGCTGCAATAAGCATTCTAGTGTTGGGAAATGATCTCAAGGAGTCAACCTTTTACTCCAAAATGTGGTTGGTTACAGTGGTTCATGAATTAACTGTGTATTTGCTTGTACGGTCTAGACTCGATAATCGACCCTTAACAATCCTAAACCTGCTATCCAACAAGTTTGTAGGAAAAACCAACAGAACCCATAAAAACAGCCTTAACATAGCGACAGCCTTGGATTGTGACTCCGACATGACATTTAATGTCACCAATCAGGATGACGGCGT